TCTGTGTGTGTGTGTGTGTGTGTGTGTGTGTGTGTGTGTGTGTGTGTGTGTGTGTGTGTGTGTGCAAGGAACACACATGAGAGGACCGTCGTTGAACAAGAGAGCTGCGCCGAGACGGCCATTGGAGATGGGGAAAGAGGGTGGGGGGGGGTAGAGAGAGAGAGAGAGAGAGAGAGAGAGAGAGAGAGAGTCCGTCAGGCTGCCCGTCCACGGCGGACGACCGCCCTCCACTCTGATGTCCGGCGACCGCGGACCAGTGGTCGCACGACGTCGACGAAAGTCCCAGAAGGGCCGACACGAGGTACCAAACGAGGATGCTGGCCCTTCGACTACGCGGGCAAGGAGAGGAAAAAAAGAAAACAAAACAGAATGTGGGAACGCGTTCTTACCACTTCGAAGTCTTCACCAGCTAATGCACGCAAGCGACGTGCGAGCGCGAGTGTGATTGTAGACACTGCTGTTACTTGATGGGGGCGGCGGAAGATGCAAAAGGGAGGCGCAATTACGGGCAAAAATGCTCGGTCCTTGTGTTCGCCGGCCCCCACCGGCGGGCCAACCCTGCACCCTAAACCACTACCAAGGGGCAAACATGCAATTACCTCCCTCCACCGAGAGAGGTAACCTCCCTTCACCGAAGAGAGAGAGATAGCTATGCTTGCAGGGTCCCCTGTGTAGCCTTAGGAGTAGTGGTAGGTAGGTAGAGAAATATGAAAAAAGATAGGTTCAGTGACATGGCTGAAGACAACTAAACATTTGAGAGAGAAAATGTATATACAGCAGTCCCCCAATGAGGAGAAACAGCTTTTCTTATTGAGGAATTATTTGCAAAATAACCCAATAAGTTTAGATATATGCCAAATATGGCCCTAAAAGATGGTGGTAGAGGGGAATGCCTCTCTGACAAAAAAAAAATTGTGAAATACCCTTGGCATCTGTTGGACCCCCATTCTTGCAATATACCCCTACCGGGTACCGTCAACTTTGCAAAATGCCCCAGTACTTGCCAACTTCTCCTGGGCGCTATTGCAAAAGGCGAGGGCCCAGCTGCAAGGTCCAGATTGCAAAGTTGCACACCCGCCTGACTGGGGCACAACACACAGAATTTGGCCCAAAATGCAATCCGCTGCACATATCTCAACTGATGAGGGTAGTTTGCAAATTATCCCTTTAATTAAAAAAAAAAAAAAGAGAACAAGGCAGGATAGGAAAACTTTCCGTCGGGGATGATGAAAAAGGGAGGCGCAGCTACTGGCAAAATGTTCGGTCTTTGCGTTAGCAGGACCCCCACCGACGGCCCCACCCCATCTCTGACTACCGCTGTTGGGGCCGGGGCAACATGCAATCCCTTCATTGTGAGGTGGCTATGCTTGCAGGGGTCCCCTCTATATAGCCTTAGGAGTAGTGGTAGGTAGGGAGCGAAAAGCAAAGAGAATTTGAGGGAAGAATATAGTGCAGTTCAGAAATATATATATATGTATATACAGGGTTGCCAGGCCGAACGTACGGAGGCCCCTAACCTAACCCCCGAACGTTCGGGCTTTCGGGTCCCCGTACGGGGCCCGAATCTGAAGGGGTTCGGACCCCGCAAAAAATTATCTTGGCACCTAAATATTATTATTTGTTACTGAAGTTTTTTTTGTCAGTTCTTTGTGATGTCAGGTATGTCGCTCTTAATTTTGAAGTTATTCTGTTCAGCCAAAAAAAAAGAAAAATCGACAAAGATGGTAGTGTCAAAACTTGCTTGCCCACTCACTAATTTGTTTTTTTTCTCTTTTCACTTTTTGTTTTTCCTTTATTTCGGGGTATGAAAAACATATTACTTTTTCAAACTTTGTTTGTAGATTCTCTATTATAGAAAGATACACATACATAAATTTTCATGGCATTTGTCCCAGCCAAAAAAAAATTAAAAATCGCCAAAGATGGCAGTGTCAAAAGCGTGCTCACCCACTCAATAATTTCATTATCGTTTTAATTTTTCTAGTTTTCATTATTATTATTTATTTTTAGTATTTGATTTTAATTTCAAATTTGGTAAAGAATTTGGATGTAACGTTGAGGCAAATGGTGTTCAGTTTATTCTTTTGCATAACATATATTATTTTTAGATTTTTAGAAAATTATTTTATTTTATTTTTTTTTTTTTGGGTTTGCGTTCAGCCGAACGGCCGAACACGTCGAGAGGGGGTGCCGAACATTCGGGCGTTCGGCCCGTCCTGAACGCTGACAACCCTGTTATATATATATATATATATCAATATATCGTCAAATAGAACTGCCCGGTAAACCGTAGGCAGAGAGGGAGAAGAGGACAACAAACGAGGGACTGTGACAAACTGTTTCGTCGTAGTTTCACCGACTCATCAGGAGGCTGAACCCTCAACAGTCTGTAGAATCCCCTCACTGATTACACTGTAAGTGATAATCCAACTTAACCAATATCAAAGTAGACTATCACTCACCCACACCAGATGGAAAACTCTACAGACTATCGGTTCACACTCCATTACAAGCCAGCAAAACACCCACGAAACAAAGAAAGGTCTGTCACAGCCAAAAAATACACTCCTGACACGCCGCTGGCACTAGAGGCACAGCATGGCCGAGGAGTGACGGCCCCGACCACTGTCGCTCGACCTGACCGGAGAAAACCGTAGCAGGAAGCTAGCGAAGTCGTAGTATATATCGTCAAATAGAACTGCCCGGTAAACCGTAGGCAGAGAGGGAGAAGAGGACAACAAACGAGGGG